CTACATTAAATTTAAAAGAGCGTTAATTAATTAATGTGAAGAATAACATTTCGCATAAAACAGTTTAAGTTTAATATTGATTATAAAATAAAAATATAATTTAAAAAACTTCGAGATTGATGTTATGGAAATATCAGAGTAGAAAAGTTAAGCAAATCGTCAAAAACCTCCAACTTGGACAAACACAATTTTAACTTATTTCAATAACAGTCGTTAAACTCATAAATGTAAGGTTGAAAGTTACATGAAAAATTCGTTATGGTAACCCCAATGGTACTCAGCCCACACACAGCCCTGCCTGAATTTATATTATTTCCCGGTATTCGAACCAAGTACACTTCGCGCTTAAGACAATGGTGGAAATAATTATGTTATTAGTAGTGTATATTTCTTAAAGCTGAAATAAATTAATCATAGAATACATGCATTACGATACTAAAGTTTTATTTAATACGACAGATGCAGAAACCCAAGAAAAATTTGATTACGAAAAATTTTCCTGCACATAAAGTTTGAGCATTAGTTCATTTGTCGCTCTCTCGAACAGTCATAGCTCAGAACCGACGCCTTTCAAGCTCTCAAGCCACTCTCCACCTATATACAGCTATTATACAGGCTGTTTGTTTTTACATTTCACACGCTCTCAAAAGAAACATGTCGCGTTTCTTTACAAATGGCTTTGCAAGACTTCAACCTTTTTATGAATAATTTCAAAGACTTCTCTTTGCGATGTTTTGTTTAAATGTCTTTAATTAAACAAATATAAAATATATTGGTGTAAGGGCAGACACATTTATACGTCTGGTTTACTAATTTTACAGTTGAGTAGTTGATCTGGCTTCTGTGATCAGCCCGAAGCTCTTTATAACCCCTAGCATCAAATTCGTGAGTTCTCGTGCTTATCGTAAAAGTTAAAAATTAAAAAACGGGGTTTTAATCCTTTTTAAACAAAATTTCTATCTTGATTTTTGCGTTTTTATAAAGAAATACTTTGGTTTGGTATAAATAAAGTAAGTTAAATTTAATTTCAAATAATGTTTTATAAAAAGCAATAAACATCTGCGGATCGCTGAAAATCGAATAACGCTTTGTTATATGAATCGAGCCAAAATAGTAGCGACTGAAAAAAGCAGTTTCATGCTTTTCATCAAAATCGCAGAGCGAGTATCGGACGAAGTGACCGGAAAATTCAATAGCACTCCGGGCGATCCAATCCAGCCTCACGAGCGGCAGCGATTTCATGAGCGACGCGAGAAATCCATATAGGCGTGTGGCCATTAGGATCGGCGACATGAGACGCACAACCTCGTGGCTCGCTCTGAAGTCATACTTAATTATTATTTTTTCATCGTTTGCAGTGGTCACTGTTGTGTCTTTTTTACAATAGACAAACATAGGGTAGACTTGATGGAAAATTAAGTCCCCTATAACATTTATTGAATATGTGCTGTCAGTTTGAATACTAAAAAATACACAAAATGTTACCGAACCGGAACTTCCACTTCACCTTATTTACAGATGACGTCTTTAATACAAAAAATTGAAACAGGAGCCCTAAGCACGATTACGATTAGTACAGTTTCTGTCACTAGACGCGCCAGTATAGAAGAACATTCCCTGGCCAAGTCGTAATACTGTCGCCCGTATTCGATAAAACATTTCCACTTGAAATTGTATAAAATTTAAAGCCCTTTCACTAAGCTAAAACACCACTATTGGTGCTGTGAAGTGTTCCAAACCATTTACAACTTCGCTAAAATGATTTCCACAGATTTCATTTGGATGCGCGACAAATTTTTATTCGTTGGAGGATATATAATGTTCGTGGAAATAGTTTTGGAACATCTCTTTATAATTATTAACCTTTAGAATTTCACTAAAACTAAAAATATATAACGCTACCTAAAATACGAAATATAACAATCATGCAGATGTCACAACGTACATTAAAAAATTATATATTTAAATAAAACACTTTAACGGTTTAGAACTCGATATATTTTAGTTAAACTTGTTTGAAAATTATTTTTTAACTACGGCCCGACGTTTCGGATGCTTTGCAGCGTGGTCACAGGAGACTGTTTTATGAAAATGTGTACTACTCGCGTAAACTACAGACAGTATTTAAAAACAATATGGGTTTTTTACTCAACAAATGCCATTTTAAAAGCTAATTAATATTATTCACATGTTTGATTGATTGATTGTAGGACACGGTAGCTTCGGAATGCCGGTTCAAGTCCTGCTCAAGTCTTAATTTTTTCAATTTATAATCCATTTCAAATTATATGCTATTTTTACAAATATCCATTTAAATGTTTAATTCTGTCTGGATTGTACTGTTATAAGACTGTTAAATTTGGCTGTGCCACGCGTAGGGAGGAAAATTCTCAAAGATTTTTTGACGGTGAATAAGTAGATTTCCACACGAACTCCCCTTTGGCCTCGCGCGCTCAGGCGTCCCGCCTCCACTAATTACGCGTACCGAAGCCAGCACCGCATTTTTCATACAGATCACGCATCCACTCTGCTCTAAATCGATTCGTTCCCAAGAATCGCTACGATTCCAAGAAATTAGAGGAATGCAGCCGTGGGTGGTTTTTTTCTCGTTTCTAGAAAGCGCTAGACGGAAACATGCCCGTGATACTATTCGATTATTTATTTTTGAAATTGCTTTTATAAATGTCCCGTTCCGGAAAATCGCTTATTACTTGCGGTTTGGTTATTACTGTAGCGAAGTGTATTTTTCAAACACATTACATAAGTACGAAGTGATTCAATATACGTTTCGGAGATTAAAATATTTTTAATTATTTTATTTTTATTAGAATTCTAACAAATTTTTTACAAGTTAATTATAAGAAAATAATAATTTAAAACTTTAATTTATCACATTTCGTTAACCTCATGACCTAGTTTTGAAAGAAGTGTCGGTTTCAGAATTATAATAACTAATTAATAGAAGGTTTCTACGGATTCAAAACGATAGATACACTATTATCAAACTAATTTTAAGACCACGCCCTTTTTAAAATTAAAACTAAAATTTACTTAACTACTGAAATAATGAATTTGCTTATCAATTTTTTCATAACTTTTACAGACGTAACCTACAGACATCCATACAACCAAAAAAATAAACTACAGAGTGTAATCATAGGCCTCATATATGCAATATTTTGCTTGACAACCCAAAATGAAAGAAAGACAATCGGAAAGAGTTTGTGGAAAACACTGTCTATAGTTTACGCGAGTAGTACACATTTAAATAAAACACTAACGGTTTAAAACGCGATATATTAGTTAAACTTATTTCAAAATGATTTTTGACTTCGGCCCGACGTTTCGGATGCTTTGCAGCCGCCGTGACCACGGGCCGAAGTTAAAAAATATACAAAATACTTAAAAAGGAGTATAATTCATTAATCATATAAGTAAAAACGTTTTCCACATTTTTAAATAAAACACTTTAATGGCTTAAAACGCGACATATATTCGTAAAACTTATTTAAAAATTAATTTAACTACAGCCAAACGTTTCCCCGTGACCACAGCTGCTACAAAGCATCCGAAACGGGGGGACGTAGTTAAAATAATTTTAACTAATATATATTACGGTTTAAGCCGTTAGTGTTTTATTTAAATCTGTACTACTCGCGTAAACTACAGACGGTATTTAGATCGTAAGAATCTTATAAAAAGGATAAAGAAATATTTGTAGCTATTGAAAGAAATTAGATAAGAATCTAGTGTTCTTGAAAGAATACTGAACAATCGTAGATACTGAAAAAACCCGCCTGAAAACACTGTCTGCGAGCTAATAGGAATGCGTCCACTTGTCCCCGTTTGCACCTCTTGTTTTCTTTTTCCACTTGAATAGCTCTCGGTGCGTATGAACGGGCGAAGTGGCGTCGGGTGTAAATTGAAACACTTGCAAATTTACCCCATACATTATTCATGTACCAAACACCCTCAGCGCCCGGCAGTTTTAGTTCCAACGAACTCGAGGTAGTCCGAATTGACGCGTGAACAAATCACTGACAATACTTACGCATTAAATACCTCTCACATATAATAGGACCTCCTGAGGCTACGCAATAAGGAGACTGAACTGAATTATTCTGACCCTAATAAATTTGCGAAGTCAAACGGACGTTGTTAGACGTATTATTTTAGCTGGCGACATCTTATTTGCTTCATGATCAATGATGTGTTGTTATATAATTAGTTTGAAATACATTAACGCTACCTATAGGACGAGTTCATAGATACAGTTATAGTAAGTCGTGAGTTCAACTCACACCTTACTTGGACCGGGATATTTTTAAATATTGTTTCGTATGGTACACACAAATATGGATATTAAACGCGTTAAACTATTTAAACAAACATAGTGCCAGCACATTTTAACTAAAGCATTAAAACTTCTATCAAGTTCTCTCTAATATTGACAAGTTAAAAAAGACAACGTCTCTATTGAATTCTTTAAATAAAAAAATTCACGAGACTAAATCAGCGTAAATGGTCATAATTCGTATATAATAAAACTCATTATTCTAACGATATTTACAAAGCGTGAAATAGTATGTACTCCGTAACATTTGATTTGAATATTTTACAAAAAAAAACAATGGCATATTGTCCCGCGCCGTGGCCGACGGGGAAAATTCGTGCAAAATTTACAATATTACATAAAATACTTACGCATAAAGCCTACACAGGCGAGATGTTAATTTACAAAACACATTTGCCTTGGAGAGTTTAACGTAATTTCTTTCTCGCCGAGGCGTTTCCTCAAATAAATTACAAGTGTAAAATTCACAACAACAAAAGCGAAACAACAAAAGGCTCGCGGCCCGCAACATCCGGACGGCCCTTCCAAACTCAGTCTGATTACGGATTTCCGAATAAGAAAAAGGAAAAAGCCAACGTTCAAAGTGTACCTAACAATCTATTGTCAAAACACACTCGAGAAAATATGAACTTGTGGCATTTACATCTTAACAATGGTCACTTTTATCAACGCTCTGTATGGAGCACTTTCTCGTAAGTAAAACATTTATATGGTAATCGATATACTCAAAGAGATCGGGCTGTGGCGTATAATGTTTAACGTATAGATGAAAGCGCGGGTCCTTTTGGGGTTTGGGGCTGTACGTGTCGCCGCTTGGCGTAGGTGCGGGCGTCGGCGGCGTAAGATGACTAATAGATTTTGGTATGGTAAACGGCCCTCTTCCTTCTTCCAAAGTCGGTCTTACTTTTCTCCACAAAAACGGCTCCTTGTGTTGCGGGCCATGGTGGGTCGCCAGATGCCTCGTGTCCCGTTCCTTTGGTAGCTGCACCGTCAGCTCATACATTTCAGGCAAAGATAGGTACCAGTAATCAGCTCCATCGCCAATTATAGGGAATAATCTCTTATTACGGAATTTCGGTCGGAATTTTCGCACGAACTCGTGATATTTTCGCTTAAGCCGCTTCATGTATTCTGTGTAACGTATTGATGTAAGTAGCTTTTCGAACTCGGATAATTCCGACGTCCCTGGATCTGAATAGACGCCGGCACATACGTATGTTCGAAGCAAATGGTGTAATTTGAAGACGACGTATGCGAGCCATTGGCGTGCCTCTTCCTCTAGAATTCCTAGGTCATCAGCTCGACTCCTGATTCCAAATTCTACGGCTTCCGCCGCACGTCGTTCACCTCTCTCTTTGACTGTAGCCAACCATTTTCTGTACGACCGGTAACAGAATTTCGTGCGTCTAGAGTGATGTCCACGCCACAACGCCTGTATGCATGAATATTATTATTATTATATTGTGTCCATGAGAGTTATGATAGTGTTGTGGTTCATTAAAAACAATAGTCATAGAAAATATATTATTGCAAAATTCACTGTTATCAATAGATGTTTAAATTGATAACATTAATGACAACTTCAGAACTGGAACCAAAGAGTAACATGGCGTAAGACAAAATGTTGGTCACGTCCACTACATAAATTCTTTGTCACGGTAGACTAGGATCAAATATAGCTGACTTTAAAACCGTTAAGTTCCGATTTAAACTATTGAATAATTTTAATCCTATGTAATTAAATGAATAAGCTAATATTACTTGTATTTTAGTCGCAGCTTGTGCGTAGTGTCTGCCATGTTTATTCCTTACAGCTCTTCTTAAAGCTCCTCGATATGCTTTCCGAGCTCTGTGCACTCTAAACGCACACTGTATTATAGTAGCATTAAAAGAAAGCCAGGCTATATGTTTCCTTATAAGGTAACCTCTAGTCATACGCTGCAGCAATAGAACAGCTAGGAATCGCTTGTGACGCCGTCGTTCAGCTAGATCAGCTCTGTCTTGCAGCTCTTCGTAAAATTCATATGGGCTGTGCAAAAATCTATTAACCGTCGCCATCTTTATTTTTTCGTTGTTGTTATATTTTAGAGTTTGACAGTTTGATGTTTCCAATACAAATGAGGTTATATAGGTTCGGAATATACGGTGTCGTCTAAACGAGAATGATAATCCAAAAATTAATTTACGCAAATGCACAGATTATAAATTCATTAGTTTGCCATTTGTATAAGGATAGAATGTAAGCTAATTCCACGACAATAGAAGTTAAAGTACCACTAATGCACGATCGTGGAAAAACGTTACAAATATCGAATTTAATAATAAAGACCAAAAAAAAAAAATTAAGACTAAGTTGTCATAAAAGTAATTTTTGAATATTAACCATAGCGTTAGTACGCTATGGTTTGAAATCGGCCATATTTGTTGTGGTCTTTTGCCAATGTAGAAAACCCACACTATATAGGGTCGAAATACTCTGTTTCAATACGACGATAATGCGTACATTTTTATTTGTGCCCCCAAATGGGTTGCCCATTCCGTTACCCCCGAAGCGATGTGTATTCGAAGAGTTCTCGCGCAGGTGGGCTCGTGTGAGACATGAATAATTCAACAATCAAAATAGCTGGATGTGTGCCTGTTTATTTATTTTACTCCTTAATTTAGGTGTAATATTTTCCTTTCGGATATTTCCTTATTTAAAAAAATTTGCTTATCTTGAAGGTTCATCCTCACTTCCGTACGGACAGGTGAAACATGGTATGCTATTCATTAAGCAGCTTTTTATTAGAAAGAAATGTTGAGGCCGCGTCAAGACTGAGCGCGAAATCGGAAGATGTACGAGTAGAGTTGACCGCTGGTGCGACAAAAAAAATGACAAAAGTTATTACCTAACTATTCCAAAATATAAAAACGTTCAAAGTTAATATTCAAGTTTTAACTTTCGATACCAAAGTCCACCACGTAACAACTAAAATCTAAATAATCTTCTAAAGGAAAGGTTATCTGCGATACGTAACACGTTATGATACAGTTACGATGGCTTCCATTTCAATATAAAATCTTTAAACAAATATATTTATATTTCTCTTTTAATAATCTAAAAAGCTGCAGTATATTTCTTTCTTTTAAGCTAAACTTGTAAGGACGACAGGACGCGGATGAAATCGTGGGTAAAAGCCTAAATTTATAGAGTTGAACAGGAGGTTGGTACAAACAAACTTGAAGCCCAAATTAACTATTCTATACTTATTTAAATAAAGCGTAACAAGAAATTTACGTATAAACGCGTATAGGATCCGTTAATTTCGTAATATATTAACGTAGTAAATTATCTTGCGTAATAAATGGAACTGAGTCGTAATTACTGGAATGCAAATGCGTAGATAGGTATTGGCTGTAATCAATGGCTGCCTTTTGTGAAATCACAAATTAAATGGCTGATTACTCTGATTCACAGTTAGCTTGTTATTATGCTTAATGCTATAGAACTCGCTGGCTCGAATTATCATATGCATTATGTTACCGTATATATGTTACTGGTAATGTACGAAATCTAGATCCTAGGAAATTAATATAATTTCGAAGCTTATTTTTAAGATAACGGGGGTTTAGCACATTGATTGATTACAGAGCTTTTTTAAATTTTGTAAAATATTACCATAATACTTTTATGGTAAAGGAGACATCGCTGTCTCGTCGCTCCTATTAGTCACAGCGTGATGTTTTATAGCCTAACTGACAAAAGCAAAGATTTTTTTTTTCAAATCGAATCAGTAGTTCCTGAGGTTGTACCGTTCAAATAAACAAACAAATAAATTCTTCAGCTTTTTAAATTAGTAAAGATTTGTCACGTACGCAATAATCTTTAAAGATTAATTTTGGTTATAAGTTAAATTTGAATATTTAATCTTACGACAATTTAAATAACACGTAAACATGTATCTATTAAAGCAAATACAGACTGTTTTCCTTTGAACTCTTTTCTTATACGTGTTCATACATACCATTCATTGAACGTTTGATAAAACACTTTGTCGTAGGTAAAACTATTCAAGTATTTTATTTAAATAATTTTATTTCACGTTTTTAATAGTTACAATGTATTTTTTATTATGATACATATATATCACAATAATTTGTCTATATTGAAGAAGATCATAAATAAGTTTCAGAACGCATAAATTAAGATTTGCTCGAAATTAGTTAGCGCAGTAGTAAAACACTTTACTAATAACGATGATATTGCGCTCCTTAAGATGGTGCAATGCAGTGTTTGAAGTAATTTCTACTAATATACTTAAGTCTAAGCTAAGCGTGGGGCAGAAGTTTGGAATAACAGAGATTGTACGAACTTCAATAATATTTAACACTTAAGTCATGAACTCAGCGCTTCGTCGAAAATCTGCTGTTTTATTAGTAATAAACATACTACATTATATATGTAGTAAATATTATAACATTTTATGATATATTTTAACGGTTTTATATACGAATTATATAAGTTACAACTACGGTCAACTACGGTTACAATTTTGACTAAAAAAGAGATGTAGAAAATGAGACTAAATTATTAATTATATTAAAGATGTAACTATTTTTATAGTCAGTAAGCCAATTTTCATGTTAAGTTATACAAAACACTTAGAAAAGTATACAGACTAATGTGTACGAAAACACATCTAAGCGCGACCGAACTCCTAAGTAAACAAAATAACATGGTCTCTAACTTAAGAGCTTTAACAGTGGTAATCTTAACGATTTGTAACTAGACTTGGTCCGACCGATTTAAAATATTTGTCGATCGATTGATTAAGTAGAAGGATGTTTTTCATAAAATAATAACAAAACGATACTAACGGTGCTTTTCATCTCGGAAAACACCCGCTTTTCCCCGGCGGAAAAACGCGGTTAAAATTAGCGAACATTCACTACCCAACCATACGACTGAATTATAAAGCCGCTCTAAATTCTTATTTTTGATATAAACAGACATACGAACCATTTTGCTATATAGACAATTAGTTGTATACTTGAAGTATTTATTTAATCTATACTAATATAGTAAAGCTGAAGAGTTTTTTTTGTTCTTGTTGGAAATAAAAATATTTTTCTGTTGTCGAGAAAGGGTTTAGCTATTGGCATCACGCTGTTACTACTCGGAGCGAAGGAACAGTAGAAAATGTGAAAGACGAAAAATGATTCGTCTTTGAAGGCTTCAAGTAAGCAATAAAAAAAATCATCAAGTTTAAATCATCAAAAAAGTTGTCCGAGTCTATTATTGAAGATAAACTGGCAAGAACCGGTTTTTATGGTAAATCAATTTTGTTGAATTTATTGGATTATTACCAATCAATTGTTTCGTTTCCCTTATGAGCTAAAACTCATAAAAACACTTTAACAATTTTCGACTCTATGTCAACGGTCGAAAATGTATAAAATATGATAAAAAGACTATAATTTTTTAACTTTAAAAAAATTTCAACGCGTTTTAACTTTTAATCCTAACGTAGGAAGTAAGTAATATATAAAACAATTTTATTTTTAGATTCTACCCATTTAGTACTACCTGAAACTAAACTTCTAACATAATTATTTGTTAGACGACAATAAAGCGCTACTGGGCTATAGAACACAGGAATAAAATTAAAACCGGGAACTTTCATGAAAACTTTCCTAACAAACTAATTTTAGAATAATATAGTTGAAAACCATTTTCAATTCTAGCCATCCACAGCTGTTTAATTAAATTTGCTGACACCACTATTACTACATAATACTAAAATACTAAATACTCTCTGTAGTTTGCGCGAGTAGTACATAATATTTAAATTAAACACTTGAACTGTTTAAAACGCGAAGTATATTAGTTAAACTTGTTTACGAACTATTTTGACGTACGGCCCGACGTCGTGGTCACGGCTTCTCCAAAGCTTTGGTTAAAGTGTTTTATTTACATACTAGAAAATCTGCGCAACTACTCAAATGAAAATAGTACACTTTGAAAGGTCTATTGATTTAACAAGATTCGAACTAACTTAAACTTAATTTTAAAGTAAAATAAAATTTATAGGCCCAATACAATCTTAATGGTGATGCCATAAAAATGTTAGCAGGTTCGAATCCCGAAAAAGCTCTGTGTATCATCTAGGCGTGTCAAGATTTTTTATTGAAACGGGCAGTAATTCTACCCCAAATACAATTTGAAAAATCTTTTTTTTTAATTTTGTAAGTTTTTGAATGACTCTAAATGATAGAATGTAGGTCAGGTCATTACAATTTCGCAGGTCAAGGAGTCTTGGCGAAGGCGATTACACCGCAATTATAAATGGACCAGGCATCACTCGGACAGCTGTAGATTTTAAGATCTAGAATAATAATTAACGTAAAACTTACAATTTAAAATTATTTATGAAGAATATTTTTACTTTCAAGAGTAAAACTAACAGTTTCACTAAGTTGGTGATTACAAATTGATAACGAGTATTTAAAACAAAAAAAAAAGATTTACGTAACATTCAATTTGTGTATGTTGTTCTTGATTTTATTTTATATGATAAATTGTCGTATAAGTTTGTTAAATATCAAGTCATACTTTATAAATAAAGAACCGATTCCAGATTTTAAAAAAAATACGACACGGGCAGGTCCTGAACCGTCATCCACAACGTTTCGTGCTGTTGCTCCATCCAATTGAGATACCGAGTCAAGTGGTCTTAATCTAAAATCGATTTTTAATTTATATAGTGTCATTTGCAATAATTTGTGAAAAATAAAAAGGCATTCAAAAAGTCGTACTTTGTTATATAGAAAGATATTCTTTAACTATGGGGCTCGAACCTAAGACTAAAGCGTTTCGTTTGTACCAACTGTCGCGTCACTTTGCGCAATGGCATATAAAACAACACTCGCGGCTTTTACCAAATATATATCGCGTTTTAAACCACTAAAGTGTTCTAAAAATCATTTTTTAATTAATATAATAAATATTAAGTAAAATTTTGTTCTTTAAAACTTTACGGTACTTGCAGCATTGCTCAGTGAAAATTCAAAGATCGAAC